CAGCCTCCTGGACTGCTCGCACGAGTCAGGAGGCACCCGTGGTAGTACATAGGACCTTCCCAGGCACTTCACGGGTAGGTAGTCAGTCAGTAGTCAGGGTAGTCTTCAGGATAGCGGAGCAGCACTCAGGAGGAGCGCTGCTCGAGGGCAGCTTAGCGCTAGTGTAGTCTTCGGCGCTGGGCGCCATAGCTGTAGTCCTCAGCGCTGGGCGCTGTAGTAGTAGTGATACAGGAGAGAGATACTGGCGGAGGCCAGTGGTACGTACCTGTGGCGCCATCGCTCCAGCTCCATCTTCGTGATACCTGCATCAAGAAGCCAACTTCAGAGGTTAGTACTGGACTGAGAGAGAGAGAGAGTTCTTCTTCTTCCTCTTCTAAGTCCACCACCTCTTCTTCCCCTCTCGCTGCCTACTTCTCAGTATCTGTGGACTACGAGAGAGAGAGATGACTTGAGACTTGACGACACTGGATACAGACTCGACATTTGGGATTCAGACATTTTGACGAGAGACTATTTGGGCCTGTTCCGAAGACTTGGTGTTTACGACATTCCCATCTTTCCCTCCTCTTCGTCTAACCCCCCTCATCTTCGTCTGTGTATGTGTGGGGCTGGCGCAGCCTTCACACCCTGGGATGATGATGATGATGTATGTTCTGGACTGCATTGCAACATTGATTAATCAGATCATTGGTATCTAAGTCTTCCGTTTGCGCCATCTTGTACTTCGCATTGAGAGGTCGGTTCTTGTTCTGCCTGCACCTTTACGGTATGCAACAGGGTCTGCGATGTTTGTTCGATTGTTCAATCATGTGATGCTGGGATTTTTCAAAATTTTCGATCACCCTAACGACTTCCTTCGTGCTGCAGAGCAAACTCTCTTGTGCAAGGAGGTAGGCTCTGAATCTAGTCCCGGTTCAGTCCTTCTCTAATGGACTTATGGAGCTCATTAGGAGTTCGACATGTAGCTAGGGGCATACCGTTGCTATAAGCGCTAGCTACCTTGGGAAGCATCTCATCCCAGTTTACTTGGTCAGGTCTAATATACATTCTGAGTAATTGCTGCAAGATCTTGTTCATCTGTTCTGTCTGGCCATTTGTCGCTGGATGACGACCGGACACCATCAACAGCTTAGAGCCGTAAACCTTCATGAGATCTTGCCAGTTTTGGCTGGTAAAGCGAGTGTCTCGTTCACTTCCTATGGACAGCGGAGCACTATGGACTGACTAGAACCAGGGAGCACATGTCCCATCGGCAACTGCCTCCTTGTTGCAACAAACAAGTAGCTGCTTCAGGTGTATGGTGTGCGTTTTGTCGAAATGGAATGTACGCACACTGCACAGGGGTTGGGGGCAAGGAGTACTGAAGGAGGATTGGGAACAGGGGTTAGTCAAATGAGTGGGTATAAACTCTGGCCAGTCATCTGTCCTCGAAGTTTTGCAGAACTTATGAAATCGAATGTGAGAACGTTCCTTGAAGAGTGCATTCTTTCTGTTCTAATGCTGTGCGTGCTGCTGTGCTGCTGCTGTGCAGATTTCATTTGGCCCAGTCTCCTGGCTTATGGTATCTGAGGTATTCCCGCTGAGAGTGCGTGGACGGGCGCTCAGCATCGCAACACTCGTCAACTTTGGTTCCAATGCTGTTGTGACTTTTGGCCTCCCTCCTCTTCAAGTGAGCCTCCTCTCACATCCCATCTCATCTAGAACCATCTGAGCCTTCCCCCCCTTCTTCCACTACCACCCCCTCCCTCTCTCCCTCTCTCCCTCTCTCCCCCCTACCTGCTCTCTCTCTCTCTCTCTCTCTCTCTCTCTCTCTCTCTCTCTCTCTCTCTCTCTCTCTCTCTCTTCTGTGTGTGTGTGTGTGTGCGCGCCTGTGCCCTTGGTCACTCAAAGCAAAGAAGAATGGAACACCAGGGAAGGAGGTTTTACCATTGCTGTCCTAGAAATAGCGATGAGGAACCGCCAGCTTGAACTACGCCATGCTCT